GGGATAACCTTGATCAGCTAATGGCAGTTCAGCAGCTTGCCAGGTTAACTGCATGCCCTCAAACTGCCCAAGGGGTGAGGTGATTTAATTGTCTTGCACAAGCTGGAAGGGGTGGTGGCACTGACTTCTGTGACCTGTGAGCATGTACAGAGTGGTGAATGGAAGCAAATACCATTTCTCTTCTGTCACTGCAGATTACACTTAAGTTTTTAGCAACACTTAATCAAGATACAGAAATGTTTAATGAAACCAATATTCTTGAGTAAAAAGTTTCTTAAAGCACATAGAGTGACTGATGTTAAGTTGTGCTTCTGGATTGTGTTCAGCAGTGTTTGTTAAATCTTTGTTGTGTCATTGCAGGTTGGCAAAAGCAGCTTTCGATGATGCTATTGCAGAACTGGATACACTGAGTGAAGAAAGCTATAAGGACTCTACACTTATCATGCAGTTGTTACGTGATAACCTGACACTATGGACTTCAGACATGCAGGGTGATGGTAAGTGAGTCCTGACCCAGGAACAGAGAGTGCAAATGGAGAGCCTTTCATGGTTCACTTCTGTCTCTCCTGATCTTGACCCTCCTGTCCTGCCTTAACCCTGGGTCAGGTGGTAGGGGTGACACTGGAGTCTTTTGAGCTCTCACTTGAAGGAAGGAGGTGTGGAATTAGCAACACTTTGTTGTTTTTCCCTCCCCACATGGCAGCTGTGATGACTGTAAAAACAGTGGCTTCATTTATTTCATCTTTTCTTTCTTTCTGCTTGTCATGCTCATCTCTGGCTGTCATTCCAAGCAGAGGGAACCTCCAGTGCAGGAGGAAGCACTGGAAATGCTTTAGTTCCCCTTCATTCCAGATCACTCCATATTCCCATTGCCAGAGCAAATGTCAGATGTGTCCCCTGGCAGTACCAGAGGGTGGGACATGGATTGCTTCTGTTCACTAGCAAAGGATAGCACAAATTTTTGAAGTGGTTTTGGCACACTGAATGGACTTTCCCAACACTTAAACTTTCACATTCAGTGCTTAGTATAAATCTACTCATTTTAGGGTTTCTCTCTTCTTTACTTTTAACTTGGAGGGGAAGAAATAAGTCCTGTTAAGATTATTTTGGGTACCTACAGATGCCCAGAGCTTAGAAACAACACTGCTGAACTTCACATAAAGATGTGAGTGTCTTAAATTTTTGTGAGCTGTTCCTTGTAGCCACACAGCATTCCTGGGGTACTTCACTGGTGGTGTGTCCATTTGAAAGTAAATGCAGAATCTTAACTTTTTCCCAATTCCCAGTTTTTATGAAGGGTGATGGGTTTGCTTTGAAGTGTTGTTATTCCATAGCTTCTCACTCTGCTCTTTGGGCTGCTGAGACTGGGAATGCTGTGAATGTGTGGGCTCTTGGATCCTGGTTTGCTCCACATCCCAGTGTTTTAGGCTCTTGCACCTCCCTTTTCAAGGGTTATCTCCTGCTGCAGGATGGGCCCTGGATGGATCTGTAGACTTTCCTCCAGACATTGCAGGTGTTGAATGCCTTCCTTGCCATGGGTAGGCATTGGAGACAGAAATGTATTTCAAAATCCCTCAATTTAGATACAACCTTTACTTTTTTTACTGGTACCAAGTACCCTGGTAGTGTGTGGAAGCCATTTTAGTGGAGTAACAAGGATCAGTGTGGGATGATACCAATATCTTCCAAACAGTGTCTTCCAAAAGTTCCCAATTTGCCCATAGCTGATGTCTCTCATGGATCTTGGATGTAGAAGTTCCACAGGATTGTTTACAAGCTCTTAAGATTTTGAAAAAAGAAATAGAGATCTAAATTTCTTGCTCCACAGCATGGAAAATAGACATCTTTGTTCCTCCTGAAGTAGTTCAGGTTGTCCTGGTTACTGGTGCCAGAAAGATAATGATGACAGAATTGAAAATACTGTAGGACTGCTTAAAATCATGATGGAATTCTTCAGATCCAGAAAAGTGATAATGGAGAACGTTTAGACACAGGTGCAAAGTTAAGGTTCCTCATACTTTGCTGATGCTCTGAGTGCATTTCCAGCTGATGGTTCCAGAGCCCCATTTTCCCAAACGAGCAGAGCCTTTGAACAATTAATCAATAGTGGCACAATAAATCAAATAGTGGCAAATTAGCAGTTTCCAGGGGATGGGAGAGGCTTGGAAAGGGCTTGTTCTTTGGCATGAAGCCTTTCCCTGTTTCCATTTCAGCCGTGTAGGGATGTAGAGCCAGGCATGACCCAGCTGCTGCCCTCCCATCCCAATCCCTGTAGCTTTGCCATGGCCCAGATGAGTGCTGAGTTTATTTCCACACTTGTAATGTCATCTCCATATGATTCCTGTTCTCCCCTTCTTTCCTGCTGTATAGATTCCTAAAGGAAAGTCCAACTGTTCATTTCCTAAAAACTCTACTTTGTAAGTCTCTTGTGGCTCACTGGAGTTTTCAGTGTCAGTTTTCCTGTCACTAACAGTGCCTGCCTCTGTCACCTGCTGCTGACAAACGCTTGTGTCCCTGCTGCCACTCCTGTGGCCCCTGTCCCCTGCCCAGGGGGGATGTGCTTGACTAGGATCCAGAGTACCTCACATGTTTGGGATTGAGCTGCAAAGCTGGATGGATAAAGAATATTTGGGCATGGGAAGTACTTCACAGTGGCCCGGTAGAGGAGTATTTGCTCGAGTGTGTTGGTTAGAGCATGCTCAGATCCTCTCATCTGGGTTAAAGCCTCTGCTTTCCTCTCTTAAATAGAATTCTGTCTATAAACTTTATTGTTGTTAATGTCCTGTGTTCCTAGGCCTCTCTTTCAAAATCTATTTCCTGTTATACCTGGTGGTAATCCTGAATCTGGACATGCTCTGAGCAAACATTCTGGTTATCTGCTGGAAGTTACCAGTCTCATTTGATTGGGTTTTATTGCAAATTAAGTTTTTAATTACTAGTTTCTGTTTATTGCCCTTAAGAGAGTCCCATCTTATGTGGTTACAGATAATTGTAAGCATTTTTTCAGCCTCTGTTATCAATTTAAGTGACTTGTGCATGTGTGATGGCACCAGCTGAGGTACCTGGAACTTGCCCAGTTGCAGCAGAATTTTGGCAAACCCTGCAGAAGGAGTTGCATGGAGCTCCCTGGGGCAGCTGGAGTGTAACCAAAGTGCAGGAGTCTCATGGACAGCCCCATTCCACTGCATGGCACAGCCTGCTTGAACAGAGACATTAATTTCCATAAGATACTTTTCTTTAATAACCTTAAATCCAGGGTTTCTTGTCAGGTTGGACTCGCAGTAGGGTGTTTTTCACACCTTTGGTAATTCCTGTATAAAATTCCCTGAGGTACTCTGCTCTTGAGGCTTGAGTGAGCTTGGGTAGAAAAAGAGATGAGGGTTTGGGGAAGGGATTCCCAGATCCAAGGGTGTTGATCCACAGCTGTTGCCGTGGTTTCTGCCTGGGCTGTCCAGCCCTGGCTCAGCAGGACTGCTCACCTGGGTGGTGTCAGAGTTCAGGGCTGGGTTTGTTTGTCCTCACATGTTCTAATGGCCTGGCTGCAGTTGTGTGTGAGGGTGCAGGTGATTCCAAGGCTTCGTTTCCATGGGAATGCTTCACTCTGGAGCTGGCAGTGTGGAGGGGGAGAGTGAGCGTGTATTGCATGAAAATATTAATCTCTAGGTGCTTGTTAAGCTGTTCTGCAGCTCTCAGTTTGAAATGGTAACATTTTCCTTCCTTCTTCCCACTTGCACAGGTGAAGAACAGAATAAAGAAGCGTTGCAGGATGTGGAAGATGAAAACCAGTGAGACACAAAGGCCAACAAGAGAACCCATCTCTGACCACCCTCCCCCTTCCCCACAAAAACCCTCAGTGTCACTCTGAGAACCACCAAATCTGACTTTTACATTGGGTCTCAGAATTTAGGTTCCTGCCCTGTTGGGTTTCTTTATTTTTATTTTTTTTTACACAGTTTAAAAGTTCTTAAAGGCAAGAGTGAATTTCTGTGGATTTTACTGGTGCCAGCTTTTAGGTTCTTTAAGACACTAACAGGACTGCGTAAAGGCTCTTTCAGCATTACTGTATTGTCTCTGCCAGCTGTGGTGACATTGCCATCAGACCTGGATGTGACATCTGAAGGCGTGTAGGGAGAGATTGGTCCTGGCCAGGTAGTGCTCATGTGGTGGCATCTTTCTTTTTTTTATAACTGTTTAAACTGAATTTTATACCAATGTTTCAACTTAATTGGGTGTTTAGCTTGAAGTTGCGAGGTTGCATTTGGGACATTTATTGTAGTGGTTTTACTGTATAAAAACAAAAAGTTTCCAAACTGCTGAAATGTTGCTGAAAATCATGGTGCTGGTAACAGTTCAACAATCCGTGGCTGCTCATTCTTGCCTGTTCTTTACTTTCCCTCCAAGCAGGTTAGCATTGAAGGTGGCATTGATAAGCCTGCATGCGTGTTCAATATTTTTTCTTTTCTCCCTCCCCTCTCCCCATCTCCCTTCGCTCGCTCAACCTCTTTTGTTCAGTATGTGTAACTTGAAGCTAATTTGTACTACTGGATATCTGACTGGAGCCACAGATACAGAATCTGTATTGTTCTTACTGAAACACAGCATGGAATTAACATTAAACTTAAATAAAACAAACCTAAATTAAAAATGCCAACCATCACTATGAATTTCTTTTAGAAGAGTAACTTTCCTTTGTTGCTTGTACTAGGAACAGTTGGAGGGGGAGAGAGCAGCAGGAACAGCCTTGTTCTTCAGACAGGAGCTAAGGAAGATTTGGTCAGACGTGAGTTGTGCTGCTGGGAGCAGCCCTTTTATCCAGTCTTTCCTTATAGAAATGGTGGGTGAATTCCTCTCGCCTGCTGTTCCAGTTCCATAGATGGAGAGAAGGGACACAGGTTACCTGCTCTGCTGGGAATAACCTGCTCCTTGGCATGGCCACAGAGCTGGGGCTGGGTCAGCCTCCCCCAAACCACGTAAGGAAACTGCACCAAGACAAGGAGGGGTTGGTTTTTTGTAAAAATTTATTCAGCGTAGTCTGGCAGAGGTTATACACCAACATCTGCAGCGTGCTCTGCACACACTGAGCACATCTGGGGATGGCCTGCAGTGTACCCCACATCCCAGCCAGGAGCAGGCTGGGCAATGGCATCGTGTCAGGAGCCAGAGCAGGACAGGGAGCTGAGGCTGTGAGAGGCAGCAGTGGGTGAGAGGCATTCAGGGCTGGCTGTGGCTGCTGCAGGATGGAGGGGAAGGGTGTCTAAGGCAAGTAGAGCAGGATGCACAGGCTGGGCTGTGGAGCTGTGCCAGGGATGCAGCAGGAGCTCCCCATGCAGCCCTGCACCCTGCAGCTGTTTGGATTAAAGGAAGGTGCTGAGGAGGAGCCTGTGCTGCAGCCAGCCCCTGTGGCCCTGGAGCTGTGGGGCAGCAGCAGTGCCCTCCCTGCTAAGGCAGCACTGAGGCACTGGTATAAATACTGTAGGAATCAGACTTCCAGTTATGGAACAAGAGGAAGAGGCATTTTTCCTGAAGGTGCTGCTCTGAGCCTGCGGAGCTGTGTGGGGAGGGGGAGTGGGGACTCCCAGACTGGGAAAGAAAGGGAGGGGTGGCTCATGTTCATCCCATGGCCAGCCCAGAGCAGTGGTAACCTCTGCAGTTTGTATTACATTGTGTTTGTGTGGATATGAAAAATTCCTATGGTATAAAAATAGAGAGCAAGAAATGGGACAGCTGACTTCAAAAAAAGATGAAAGTCTCTGGCTCCTGATCAGTGAAGTTACATGATGGGTTTTTCAGGTTATACCTTGTAACCATAAACTAAAACCAACAAAAATTCCAAATCTAAAACATAAAATTTCCACATCAACTCCATCTCTCGTAGTGCATCTCATCCTTGGCTATAAAGTATTTACAGGTTTTACTCATTTACACAATATGGCTTCACTATATTTGTAACACAAAGCATTAAAACATCTCCGAGCAAAATTCTTCATAATACAAAGTTTGGCATTTCAGTGATTTGGCTGAGAAAGCAGCAGAGTTACTTGTTTTCTGATTGTGCTTTTTTTTGGTGATGACAAGCACAATTTTTGGTCATTTCCATCAGGGCTTGAACTCTTCCTCAAAGCCCAGCTGAAGGTCCTGAGCTGTGGTTGCAGGAATGCTGTGCTGGACCCCAGGCTCAGTCTGGTAAGGAAGAGAGGAGAAGGCCTTTGGGACTTTGAGAGTAAGACAGGAGAGCAAGGATGTATTTTGTGGTTGTTCTGAAAGTGCAGGTCTTTGGTAGTAACAGAAAGAGCAAAGCGAGGAGGAGGGGTTTGCTGGGAGCAATGTTCAGCCAATTCCTTGGAGAGAAGGGAATTCCTGGAGCAGGGAATTTTCATCATCGGGAATTCAACCGAGGAGCAACCTGCAGGAGAAGGACAGGTTTGAAAGCATGTTCAAAATGCTGCAAAAGTGAGTTCTGGGCATGCTGAGGCTGTTCTGAGGATGGGCAGCTCTCTGGTCCTAACGGGAGCTCTCAGCTCTGCTGGAAGGGGTGTCAGTGCAGTCTGGATTAGTGCTGGATTTATTTCTGAATAAGCTGGGGTGTGACAGTGCATAAATCAGCTGTGGGGCTGATCTGACTGCCAGGATCACCACAAACAAGCTGAGAAGGGGAGAGAGTTTTGTTTGTGTTTTTAAATGTATCTAAAATTTGATTTGCTATGGAGTAAATGAATCTTGGGGGGTGGAAATAAGAAGTGAGGTCAATCCCTTGCTGAGTGTGAGTTTGGCAGCCCCTCAGGGCTGCAGGGGCCCTGTGCCCAGCTCCAACTAGGGGAAAGGCTGGGACAGCAGGGCACTGCCAGTGGCAGGAACATCCCAGGGCATGTGTCCCATGCCAGAATGGTGGTTTGGATCCAGGGTAAGTGATCCCCAGCCCACTCACCACTGTTAGATGCCCGTTCTTGGCTTTGGCTATGAGCAGTTCTGATCCCGAGATGAAGTCGATGATCCCTTCTTTGCCTTGTCCCACTGTGAACTTTATGCTGTGGAGAGCAAAGGGTGAGAAGAGCCCTGGTGAGCATGTGGGACTCTCCAGCAGCTGGGTGTTAACAGAGCTGCAGCAGATGTGCTCTGCAGCCTTGGGTACATTTGGACGGGGTGCAGGAAGAAGCAGAGCTGAGGCAGGGCCCTGGTGTCACTCACCTGCCCTGGTTGATGTTGACATTGTTGATTTTGTTGGCCAGAATGGCTGTTTTTGTCAGTGTCTCAATCACGTGGTCACTCTGCAGGACTACATCACCCTGGGAGGAGAGTCCATGCTTTAGGATCATGGCTTTGGTGTCACTGCCCCAAAACCACCCTGCTATAAGGGACAGGGGACAGGGACAGCACCAGAGGGGGCGAACAAGCACTGCTGAGCCCCAGCTGAGAACACGGGGAAATAGCAGTGAAAGAGCTGGCACAAAGTCACATCCCTGTCACCTTGTCACCCCCTCCTCCCAGCTGGATGTGCTCCCTGGAGGAGGGAGGGGTGAGCCCCCAGTACCTTCTGCTTGTTGTCCTCACAGTGCACGTGCAGCACAAACAAGTTGTCGCTCAGGCTGCTGACAGAGATGCCTGGGGAGAGACAGGAGCATCAGTGGCACTGCCCGGGCCAGGGAGAGCTCACAGCCTCTCCAGGAGTGCAGCAACTGCTCCCCCCAGCACAGCTGGGGCTGCAGGGGGCTGAGGCTGCGGCCCCAGGCTGCAGGGCCCACTCTGCCAGATATTGAGGGCCAAAAGCTGCAGCAGTGGCTCAGGCAGCTGCTGTGCAGGAATGGTGCAACCCCCCCCATGACTGGGAAATCACTTGGGGAGCATTCAGGGAGATTAATTGAGTCATTTTGGTGACATTTTACGGAGCTTCATTTTACAAAAACACAATTTCAAGATACTAAAACGCTTGCCAGGACCAGCTCATCTCCTTGTCCAGCACAAACCGGAGTTTGTAGCAGTGCATATTGAAGTGCAGCTGAGGAGCAGGGTGAGGGCAGTGCCCAGCCCCAGCCCTGGGCCAGGCCCACCTGTCAGGTTGGCGTAGTCGATGCGCTGCTTGATCTTGGCCTCCTCCACCACGATGGCCGAGCTCTGGGTGAGCAGCAGCTGCCGTGCCCTTGCCTTGTAGCCCTTCCTGTCGTACTTGACCACGGGCACTGCATACTGAAACACGAGTGAGCAGGGCCAGCTCCCACCTGGGCACTGCCAGCCCCAGCAGGCACCAACCAGGGCTGGGAAACCAGAGTGCAGAAAATTCCCCCTGCCAGACCTTCCTCACTGCCCCAGAGCAGCAAGGACCCACCCTGGTGGCTGGGATTGGGAAACCCAGCTTTGGTGTCACTCTGGGGTTTCCCAGTCCCCTCCAGCTGTAACCCATTCAGTTCTTAACTGCCATCATTAAACTGCCCAAGTCTCCACTTTCTAATCCATCAACTCTTCCACACTGTCCTCAAGAGTATTACAAGCTTACTACAATGTAAGATTTTTGCTGTATTTTCTCCAGAAATCTAATTCAGTCCTTCTGCTGAATAACTGGGGACTTGACAAAAACTTGACATCTCTCACCTTAAGTCCTTCATTTTCTAATGCCTGAAGGACTTTAGTATTTATTTCTTCTCTACCTGTATTAAAACCAAAGAGGTGGGGGGTCAGAAAGGAATTTCCAGCAAGAAAAGAGTTCATTTATCGCCCCCTTCCCTCCTCCTGTTAAACTTGGCAACCCCCACTCACCCAGTCGAGTGTTGATGAAGAGCCTGGGAACACTCTGAGGATAATTGTCTTTTTTGCCCTTGAAAATCTCACTGGCAATTACTTTCTGTTCCAACTGCAAGGACAAAAGAAGTGTTCTTATTTAGTATAAAATTTCTCCTCATTAAAAAGATACATCTGTGTTAGAAGAGCTGTTCCCTTTGTGGTTTTATTAGCAGTCATAATTCAGTTCCTGTTTGGATGAGGAGTCACCCTAAACTTCCATTCCCTGGAGGTGGCAGAGCTCCAGCCCCTGTCAGTGACCTGAGCCCTGGGCTCCTCTGCTCCAAGAACAAACCAGGGGCTGGGAAAGTGGGAAATCCCCACTGTACTGGGATCCAAGGCTGTGACACAGGACAAGGCACTGGGATGATTTACAAGGGAAAATGGGGATAGAAGAGGCTCCTTATCAGTGAGTCTGGTTTGCTGGGGGAAAGCAGCTGCTGAGCTGAGTTAATCCCACGTCCCTAATCACAGCCCCAGCCTCTCATTGTGTCCATGCACTGCAGAAGGTGAGAGATGGTGCAGTAAAAACCTTCATGGCAGTTACAGCCAACATCTCCTGTTCTGTCTCCTATTCTGAGCTTTTTTTTTTAATACAAAAACTCCCTCCCCCTACCTTTCCATGAGATGAATCAAATCTCAGTATCATTTTTATTCTCTTTAGCTACAGCAGAGCAGCTGAAATGGTTCCTGTAACTTCTCTGTTTGGAAAATGACTGGGTTTGTGTCTGCAGGATTCTTACTCTCTACTTCACATGGTACAGGCAGAATAATGCAGCTTCTTATATTTTTAGCTTCCATGGGCAGAGTAGCAGTGCTTTTCAATAGAGAAATTATGTGGGGGCTTGGCTCCACAGCCTGTTTAAATAGTATCTATTGAAATATGTATAGAATGGGGTCTCTTCTGTGCACATTCCAGGCTTTCAGTGTTTTGTGTCTAACCTAAACCCAAATCAGTGGCGCTGCTCCTGTGGCACCCCAGAAAGCAGCGATTCACAGCCCCCCACTGCTGCCCCCCATTCCCTGGAGTGCTGCCCTTGGCAGCCAGGGGAGCCCTGCAAAGGGGCCCAGGGGTACCTGCTGCTTCCACTCGGGGCTGATCCTCTTGCAGTAGGTCCAGACCATGTTCTGCATGCAGAGCCTGCGCAGGAGCTGCGACGCCTGCGGGGAGCAGGGACAGGGGACAGCTCAGAGCTGGGACAGACCCACAGGGACAGACACCCAACAACCCAGAGCGGGGACAGACCCACAGGGACAGACAGCCAACAGCTCAGAGCTGGCACAGACCCACAGGGACAGACAGCCAACAGCTCAGAGCTGGGCCAGACCCGCGGGGACAGACAGCCAACAGCTCAGAGCTGGGCCAGACCCGCGGGGACAGACAGCCAACAGCTCAGAGCTGGGCCAGACCCGCGGGGACAGACAGCCAACAGCTCAGAGCTGGCACAGACCCACAGGGACAGACACCCAACAGCCCAGAGCCACTGACAAACCCAACAGAACAGCAGCAACTGCAGAAAATGCACTGCTGGCTTAAAAAACTGTTTCCTGACCAAGAATTAAATAATAAGGAGTTGATTTTTTTGCCTTTCTCTATGAGGGTTTGCCCTGGACTTCTCCAGCTGCTTTAGAATGGGGAATAAACACCAGGGTTCCTCCTCTCTGCCCTGCTGTGCTCTCCCTTCCTTCCAGCTGTACCTTCAATCCAAACAATTCTTTGGACAAGGTAACTGGGATTTTCTGCAATATTTTGTTTTGAGCAGATAAACCAATTCAAGCAGATGCAGGATAATAACAGCAACAGAGGGAACTGAATTTGTTAAGAGAAAATGGAAGAGAATTTCAGAAATGGCTGAGAAGCCAGGAGGAAATGGTGGTGTAACAGCACCACACTCCAAGAAGCTGCAACCCTCTAGGCCTGGATTCCCCTCCCACATCCCAGGGCTCATTCCCACCTCACAGAGTGATGGGGGAGGAGTTGGCCACGATTTGTCCAAGACATTTTTTGGTAAGTTCCTCTTGAGGTTCATCAGGAAGGAGAATCGGATGTAATCCAGGAAATACTCGTTCTCTGGGCACCGCGGGTGGTTCCGGTAAATGAAGCCTTTAATGAACCTGTGGGAGTGGAAAATATTGTTAGAAAATTTTAAAAAGTCATCTAAATTAGTGGTATTTAAAGGTTATATTTCCTGGGCTTTATTTAATAGCTGTAATTAATTTTTAAAAACTGTGTAGTGACAAGGAAGTTTCTTTTTAGCATCTTATTGTTAAGGAATGAGATGTTTGAGGGCTTGGGCTGCTCTTCACACACCTCCTGATTGTCTCCACTGCCCATTTCCTCTTGGCAGCTTTTCCGCGTCCCAGGGTTCCCCTCCACCAGGACTGGATGGTGATGGCTAAAAATAACACAAAGATTTTGCATTAAGGGAGCTCCTTCACCCCAAACTGACTCCACACAGACCTGGCACCAAAAATGCTCGGGAAAACCCACTCTGGAAATTACCAGCTTTCAGTGGGGCATGGGGGCAAGAATATGAGTTTTCAATAATATGTTACATGGGATAAATGTCAGTAAAAGGATGGGGATTGCTGTGGGAGCTGCTGGGGGAACATCTCTCCCTCCTGTGTCTCTCATACCTGAGCGTTTCATGGTCAGGAATTTCTTCCGGCGGTAGAAACCTCTCCACGTCGCCTGCATTTTTGTGGCTGGAATTGCAAGAAAAGCAGCAATTTGCAACCATGACCAAGCACAGTTTGGTAGAAAAAGACTCAGCTTTTTGAAATAGAAATCCACTGCAAGAGTGAGTGTCTCACCCAGACTCTGTTTCCTCACTTCCAGAGCATCTTCTGTGGCAAACAAGGTCTTGGGAAAGCGGATAAAAATCTTTGTTCTGGAAATAGAAATGCAGAATTACATTTTGCATGCTGGACCAACTTGCTTTTGGCATCCCCTTTGGGCTCTGTAACATTTCCCTCCCCCATTATCTAGAGAAGCTTCATTTCAAAGGGACAACAGGGACATGCAGTGATTCATAACCTCAAATTAAGAACACAGAACTGACCGTCCCATTTTGTATTCTTCTGGTTTGTAGCCAAGGTGCTTCACCAGCACAGCCACCCCATCATAGGGCCGCCCATCCCACGTGGGCCACGTCTCTGGACACAGGGATTTGTACCTGGGAATTGGCAGGAGAGGAAATCTTAGGGAGAGAAGTGCAGTGCAAGGAGCAGAGGGGTCAGGGAAAGGGAGAGAGGTCAAGGGAAGGGACAGAGCCCAAGGGAAGGGAGAGAGCCCAAGCTTCCCACCCCTCTAGGTGGCAAAGCTGCCCCTGTGCTGTTTTACAGCTCCCAGCAATGGGATGAAGCTCAGGGAGAGGGAGCAGCAGAGGGAAGAATTCCAAAGCAGCTTCACCTCTGCAGGAACACCTCGTATTTCCTGCGGTAGGCGAAGCCGGCCCGGCGCACGCGCAGGTTCTCCATCAGCCCCAGGTACTTCACCTGGTGTCGGATCAGGACTTCATCAAACCGGTCTTGGCAGGGCATGGAAAGGACAAACACAATCAGTGCACAGCAGGGCCTTGCTCTGGAGAAGGGGAATGCTCAGCTCTGGGTGAATCTCACAGGATTTAACCTCCAACGAATCCTCACAGCACAAGTCCCACACAGTTTTGGGTCTCCTGCCTTCCCCTCTCCCATCCCTTTTTAATTATTTATATTTAGCTCCAAAATGAAGTTTTCCTTTGGGATACTTTATGCATAGAGGAACCAAAAGTGAGGGAGAGTAAAGTCATTAGAATGAATTTACAGGTCAATAATTCTTTACTTTAACCACCACCTTCCTCTACCTGAGAGCAGTGCTCCCATTGTGATTCCTGGCTGCTGGCACTGCCACCCCCTCCTGACAGAAGCTCAGACACAGCCCCAAAATGAACCCAACATTTTCTTTTGGCTCCTTTCTGTGCCTCCCTGGCTGGCATGCAGTGCTCTGCCTCTGTCCCAGGGCCATACCAGCCTGTTTGGCATCGTTGGGTTTCATGCAGCGAATGTAGGAGGGTTCTTTGGACATCAGGATTTCCATGAGTTTGGAGAGGCTGTTTTTGAACTGAGTTGCTGCCTAGGAGAAAAAAAAGAAAGCTGCACATGAAGGGATGACTTGGAGCTGGCTACAAACCAGCAGAATACAACGTGAGGGGTTTGCATTTCAGATCATGTCAGAGTTCATGTTCCAAAAAGAGGGAACAGCCACAGCCCCCTCCAGCTCTCGAGTTCTCACCGTTTCAGGTCTCTTTTTGTCTGTCAGCTCTGTCCTATCAAAGCACTGGTTTATGATGGGGTTCTCTGAGTTGCACATGGTCTGCAGAGAGAGATATTTTCAGAGATGAAGTACAGAGAACTACCAGAGAAACCTGAGGACAAAACTATTTAAAATAACAAAATGAATACTAGGATCTCAATCAGTCCTTTCAGAGCACAGCCCTGTGGACACACAGCCTCCAGGTGGAGTCCAAAAGAATCCTTTCCCTCAGGTGCCACCTCATTTGAAACCCAGCTCCTCCTCCTGTCCTGGAAACCCCTCTCTCCACACTCACCTCCTTCAGGTTCCGGAAGAGAAGGTCGTTGTTTTTATCTAGAAAACCTGGAAGAAAAACAAACCACTCAGGCTGTTCCACTGGGACTCAGGGCAGGGATTTGAGATTTGAAATTAATCTGGTTGATCAAATGATGTGGGGCTGTATTTAAGGCCCAGAGTTTTGGTTTTTCTGTGTTACCTGCAACACTGTAGGTGACATCCCCAGCGTAGTGCGAGAGCCGGAACTCCTCCCGCCCCAGCGACTTGCGCGTCTTCTGGTCAGCGAGTTTGTGCCTGGGGAGGGAGCAAAAACCTTCAGGAGAAACAAAATCCTGCAGGATTCACTTCAAAAAGCACCAGGACATTCAGTCCTGGAGTGGGGCTGTGCAAAGGTGAGCAAGGAATGCAAATTGGACTTGGGGATTTTCAGGTAAATAAAGTTCTCAACCAGCAGGTCATAGAAGAGTCATTAAATGTATTTATGTTTAATTAAAAGGGGAATGTCAGTGCTCCTTGCTGAGTGGTTCTGTGTGCACATAAGATGTAGACATCCTAAACTGAGCATTCAGAATAAAAGCAGAACATTCAGAATAAACAGACATTTGGAGCTCCAAAACTGAAGTAAACAATCTGCAAGGTGAGAGGTGAGTCAGTACCAAGAGTTTTGTTGCCTTTGTTGCATTCTGAAGCTCAGTCAGGCACTCTGTGTTAACAATCTATTTTATATTATCTTAAATATCAATCAAATCTCTCTATAAAAGAAAATCATAATCTTTTATGTGGGACTCAGCACAGTGAGGATGTTATTCACACACTGGAGTCCCTCAGCTGAGGGAACACTCACGTGAGAAAATGAGGGTGGTTCTTCACAGTCTCCTCCAGTTTCTCCAAGAATGTTGTGTCTGTGGCATCCCCAGGTCTCAGACACTCCTCATCCTACAAACACACAAATTCCAGGGATTTCTAGGCTCTGTCTTACTGAAACTCTCCTCCAGTTTGGCCTTTCCACAGATAAACAACTTTTAGCTCAATAAATGAAGAATTCTTGAGCTGAAAAGAAAAATATTTCCCTTCTTCCAGACTGCCTGGATTGGGAGCTGCTTTCCCCAGAGCCCATGGAGGTGATGCAATGACTTTTAATGGTGTCACTATTCAGTGTATTGCTCTTCCACCTACTCAAACACTTCCAACATAAACTGATTTTTTCCCATGTCTTCCCCCTTCTTTTCCACTACACTGCTCAAATTTTTCATTCAAAAAGATCTTTTCAACTCACCAAAATAGAAATGATGCCTTTGAATTTCTCTTCCACCAAATCACAAATTATTTTGTTATTGAAATACTGAACTGGTTCCCACTGCAAAGACAAGAAATCACACTTAGGTGAAAACAACTCTAGACTGGAAAAGAAATGTAAATTTCAGAACATTTCAGAGAGCACCTGATTTAAACAATCTTTCTGTCAAAGCTTTTTCACTCATCACATTTGTTTTCCTAACATTGCCTTTGTTAAAATCGGGGTAAAAGCTTGGGATGGCATTACTCACTACCAGCTGTCTCACACAGTTACCAGGGTTTCCAAAGGAAGGGAGAAAGGAAAGTTCTGTAATTCCCTGGAGATCATGGCAGGAGAGGGAGGGGGGGTCTGGGCTCTTACCGCGATGCCCTCGGACTCGTACTCCTCCTGCTCTGACTTCAGGGTCAGCTCTATGAAGAGCTGCTGCAACTTTTCATTGCAATAATTAATACAAAACTGCTCAAAGCTGCAAAGAAAAATCAGAAAAATAATCACTGTTTGTACAGGATTTATTTACTGACTGCATGCATTCAGTGAATTTATTGTTTAGGGAACTCAAAGAGTTCCAGAAGGAGGAGAAAATGGACATGAAGGATGGAACATGGAGGAACACAAAAACCTTGAATAAAGGCACAGTAACACTGCAAATGTAGAGTCTTGGTTCAGTGCCACCTGCCAGGGAGGTGCCAGACTCTGCCAGTCCCATCCCCGGGTTTGTCACCACCATGGCAAGATGCCACAACAGCCACCCCTGGGCTGGAGAGCTGGACAAAGGCACAGCTCAAGGTAAGGCATGAATACACCCAAAAAACAACAGTTTATTTTAAATACCAGGTCCATTAATAGCTGTAAATGCTAATTATTAGCTGGATGTCTTAAGTGTTAGAAGCCCTGTGATTAGCATTTTGTCACCTGATGTCCTGACATTTAAATGCCACCTCTTTTACCAAGAAATGCAATCAAGCCTTGTTTCACAAGGGAGAGAAAACACCATAAACTGAATAATGTAATTCAGAATTTATCAGCACAAACCTGTTGTGCTGGAAAACCTCAAACCCATAGATGTCCAGCAATCCTAGAACTGTTGTACTTCTCCAGCCTGGAAACTTCTCTTCCTGCAACAGAGCAGAAAACAAATGTAAGTATTTCCTCACAGCTATGATCCACCCCTGGATCTCCATCATCTAATCCCAGCATTTACTGCACAATTTAGAAAACAAATTAATTTAGAAATTACTAAAAGCATAGAACTTGCTTTGAGGCTGAAAGATTTAGAAATTGCTGTCATGTTTGGCTGAATCTCTATAGCAAAGCAGGGCAACACCAACAAAGGGGAGAAAATGATGAGGAGGACTCCATCTTATCAGAAGGCAAATTAATTATTTTATTATTCTATATCATATTACACTACATCTAAACTGAATCTGCCAAGCACCCAACTGCACTGAACTGCACAGAATCTCGTGGCTGTCAGCTGACAGTCCTGACACACACACTGAATTTGGATTCAACTGGTCAGTGAATCAAAACTCACACCAGAATCCAATCACCAATTCCCTTCAGGTAAACAATCTTCCACAATGCATTCCCCTTGTGCACAACAAGAGGAGCAGCAACTGAGATAAGAATTTTTCTTTCTCTGATGTTCAGAGAGTGTGAATCCCAGAAAAATCCCTGGGAAGCTGTGCCTTGCTTTTCTCTGTGAAGAGAAATGCAGCCACAGATCTCAACAAGCAGAGGGTCACTTGCCTTGTAAGCCAGGGATTTGTTGACCTTGTTGACCAGCCAGGAGAAGGTGCGGCCGTAGACGGCCTTGGCGAGCGCGTCCCTGGCGTAGGCTGCCTGCTCCAGGTTCAGGGGACTCACCAGCTGCAGGCAGGAGCACAGAAAACCCCTCAGCAGCCCCCACACCAAGGGAACCCCTTTTCCTGCCTCATCATCACTGAACAGCCACTCAAAAGCATCCTGCTTGTGGCTGAACAGTGGAACCTCTGCAGTGAAAGCTCCTGAGGGGTGGTGAGGGAGCTGCTGGCAGAGCTGATCCATGGAATCCCCTTTGCCTCCCAGGGCAGAGCTGATCCATGGAATCCCCTTTGCCTCTGCTGCTGGCAGAGCTGATCCATGGAATCCCCAGGGCCTGTTCTTACCTCCTCCCCTTTTGCTATGATCTTCTTGTGGATCAGTGCATCCCGAAGAACTGAGCCATCCACTGCCAGCAGCTGCATGCAGGATATTCAATTAATTTATGGAGCTGTACATTCCATCCTCCTAAAATCCCGGCCCAGTGAAACAACCCTTTATTTTATTTCCCACTCACACTGAACAACTCTGCAGCATCAATCCCTCTCTTCCCTCCTTTCTGGCAGGAATATGAGCTAACAAATGAATTGGCTGGAAGGAAGTGGCCAAGCAAAGGCACTAAGGTGGTTCTTTCTTTAAAACTTCCCCAGAATCTGTTCCTACCTCACTGCCCAAAGGTGGAAACCTCAAGGCAGGGTTGTGTCAGGTGGTAAATAGAGAAGTTGTCAATTAAATGGGTTTGATGATAATATTTGCATTCTATTTAGGTGAAATTACAGTTAAATTTATACGAACTTCTAAATAACAGTCTAAAAATCTATGATGATCTTAAGCTCAAAGTAAGGAGCCCTCTACAATTCACCTTTCCTGTAACATCTCTCTCCCTGGTGATACTCACCCTGGCCAGGTATTTAATCTGATTCTCTGTAGTGACCTGAGCATTGCCCTGCTCATCAGCAGCAAACTGGACATTCCCCAGGTGCAGGACACTGGCCACAATGCTCAGCAAATCCTGCCATGGGAGCAACAGGCAGAGATCAGGATGATGGAATGAACACACAGCAAGGTTTTTGTGTTAATTCACTTCTTAGGAGACTATTTTGTATATTTTCCAGGATTTTTATAGGGAATACATTCACTCTGATTTGATTCACTGATTTCAATCAGAAATCCCAAATCAAAGCAGAAAAAAATCTTTAAAAGTAGGAAAATCTGTGCTGCTAAACCTCACCTCCACCTCACTGTCATTGAAGCCGATAACAGACAGGGCTCTCCTCATGATCTTCCACTCATTTTTGTCATTTATGGAACTGACCCTTGCACAGTGACCCTAAAAAGACACAGCTTGACATAAATAAATGAATAATCATCAAAGATACATTATCTATGCTCAATGCATTGTGTTTCTTTTTACAGCAGTCACCTCAGAGTTAATTCTGAAGTGAGGGAAGGAAATGACAAAGTTAATTGGAGCTATCCCAACCCTGTGATACAATATTTTAAGAATTACAGTTAATGTTCACCTTTACTAAATAGTGATACTGCTGTGGGTTCTTCTCGAGGCCCAGCCTCCTCAGCAGGTCCTCCTCCCCTCCCTCCAGCAGCTGGTAGAAGATGTGGAAGTTCCTCTCGCCGTGGTTCTGGTGCACAACTCGGGATTTCTCCAGGAGGTAGTTCAAGATGTGGCCCCCAACAGGAGCCCCCTAAACCAAACCAGACACGTGGGAAGAGTTCATCAACACAGAGGAAAATGTTTCTGCTTCTTCATTGTCTGTTCAAAGACAAGATCTGAAGCAAAAGCCCACAAAAACACAGAAAATGATCTGTCATTCTGTGCCACAAGCTCTATTTCAGTACAGTGGTGATTTTAGTGCTAAAATTCCTTCTAGGAATTCACCACAAAGGGAAAGCACCAAAACTGAGTGTGGAGGGATTAAAGGAGACCTGAAGGATGGCAGTGCTGAGATCCTCAGCCCCTGCACTGTGCCCACCTTGCTGCTGTGGGGCTGTTGGGGTCAGAGTGGGCACAAACTCTGTGCAAAGTTACCCAGAACAGGAATTATCCTCAGATCTCTCAGCTGGGTTATGTGGATTTACCTGGTGAGTACCCACTGGCACAGAGCACCAGAAATAAAATACCCTAGAAATAAAAGGGTTTGATCTCAGTGTCCCCTTACAGAGAGAAATAAGGGAGGAATGAAAGGAGACTGAGTGCGATAAAACCCTCTGGACCCAAATTTTGTCACCACAGGCTCTGCTTATGCTGTCACCAAGGAAATGCAAAGCACTCACTACACACACACAACAATACAAGAACACAGAGAGCTCCTACAACTGGGACCAGTCCTGGAATATAAACCAGCTTGCAGGTTACCCTGTAATCAAACTGCACATCCATGTACTTCCCAAACCGACTGGAGTTGTCATTCCGAAGGGTTTTTGCATTTCCAAAGGCCTGAAATGAAATTGATCAGAGAAAATTAAATGAGGACCAAGTCAGATTATTCATAAACACTCGGGTGAGGCTGCCAGTTATTTATTTACAGCCCAGGATTTTCCTTCCCGGAAACCCAGAAGGAAACAGATTTCTCCCTGAATTCTCAGGCTGATCTTTACACCCCCTGCAAGCAGTGCAGATGGAACATGCTCTGAAAACATTTCCATGCCCCTGCAAGCTGATTTTAATGCCAGTCCACTGCTGACAATATATGTCATGTCTGACAGCCTTTCCCAAGCTCCTCTGTCCCCACTGCCATTTGTCACAGCTCGCTGGCAGAGGGGCTGCAGGGCTTCCAGCTGCTGGGAGTCACCTTTCCTGGGACACAGGGCACATGGACATCTCAGGGCACAGGGATACAGGGACACAGGGATACAGGGAAACAGGGACATCTCAGGGCACAGGGACACCTCAGGGCATACAGGGCATAGGGATTCAGGGACACAGGGATACAAAGCACAGGGATTCAGGGACACAGGGATACAAAGCCCAGGGATTCAGGGACACAGGGATCTCCCAGGGCACTGCACACAGCCAGGGCTGGACACTAGAGGACAGCACAGCCCCACAAAACGAGCCCAGCCTGTGTGAGCTGCCCACTGGGATGTGCCCCTTTGCAGAGTCCTGCAGTGACCCAGAGCTCTTCCCACCCCAAATCCCCTCTGTCCCCGAATCCCATCCACGCCACAGCTCCTCCTGGAGGGCTGGCAAGGGCCAGGAGTGCTTTGGCCGGGAAGCAGAGCAGATTCCCTGCTGATGTGCCCGCACAGCATCCCCAGGACACGCTGTCACCGCCCCCGTCCCGCTGTCCCCAGGGCCAGCATTCCGTGGGCTGGGGGTACCTCCAGGACGGGGTTGGACTGCAGCAGCCGGTCCTTGACGGTCTCGACCTGCTGGCTGGCGGGGCAGGTGACAGCGTAGTACTGCAGGATCTTCTTGGTGGCCTCGGTTTTGCCGGCGCCGCTCTCGCCGGAGATGAGGATGCACTGGTCCCTCCTCTCGGTGCGCAGCGAGCGGTACGAGTTGTCCGCGATGGCGTAGCTGCAGGGGACAGCCGGCATCAGCGGCTCTGCCCTGAAACCCCGGCACACACATCCCCCCACAGCCCCCGGCCACGGCTGGGGGACATCGCAGCTGGTGACAGCGCAGGTGACAGCACTGGTCACACCTCAGCCACCGAGCCACGCTTCTGCAGGGCCATGACACAAACTGTCCGTCTTTGAGACAGTTCTTTGGACTTTTCTTTCTGACAAAAATAGGTAGAAGTCGACTAAATTGTGCAGAACAAGTGGCTTTTCTAAATATAAATGATCCCTCAACACTGGTCCCGTGGGACAGAAGTTTTACACCTCATTCTCCACTGGTATTTTTTCTTGCTATTGTTCTAAGTGATGACACATTCATAAGGTCACTACAGAATTTTGCTGTCTGCGTGGCTCCAGAGCTTCTCTTGGGTGGTGGGATGAGCTGGAAAAGCCACCACAGATTAAGGAGCATCCTGCAGGCCCCTTCTGCCCCAAACCCAGGCACTTCCTCTGCCTGCACAGGCTGGCCCTGCCCTCCTGCTTCCTCCTTTGCTGCTTTTTCTTTCATTTCTGTGCTGTGAGCAGACAGGACCTCACACCAGTCACACACACTGCCACAGCACCAGAGAGCAGCAGGGGATGAGTGACAATGGTGACAACTGCTCAGGGGGACAGAAAACACAACCTCCCAACACCATTTCAGCTCTCACATGTGGTGAGCAAGCAGAGATCCTGTCTTCACACCTGACAACATTTTATTTTAATAGCTTGGCTTTTTAATTTTTCATTTTCCCTTTTTTTTTTTTTTAAACTCTCCTGCTGTGCTATTAATTAGAAGTAATCACACCAAAATAACAGCCATGGCTTTCTCCAGTCTATTAATACTTGGTGCTAAGGCAACACCAATGAGCTCCCTTGGCAACACAACTCACCCCACAAAATACATCATGTCCCCCTCTTCCCATCCAGATTCTGCCTCTGGAGTCTTGTGGAAAACAGCTGAATAAATGCAGATTTAATTTGGATTTGAAGAAGTGCCTCTGGCCCCTGGGCCTTTATGGGGTGGTTTATGGCCCCAAGAGCTCCAGCCAGGCACAGACAGAATCACTGGAAATAAAGATGTTTATGGTCCCATTTGCAGGCCATAAACAGGACAGGATGTGACAGATCTCTGGGAATATGCTGGGTTCCAGCCCATAGGGATAACTCTCCTCCTCTGAGTGTGATGCACATCCCAGAAAACCCAGCTGAACTGTCTGACACTGGAATAGAGATCTTGTAGTGTTTTGGCTTTCTAGAGTCAGTTTAGAAGAGGAGAAAGAGGAAAAAAATATGAGTTACTGGAAAAGGAGAATCCCAGAGCACCACACTGCAGATGGAGCATTTTGATGCTCCTCAGAGGATTTTTAAATGCATATATAATCAAATAATACAATAAAATAATCAAATAATGCAATGGAACAGCAAAAACAGTCAGCAAAAAAATCTGTTCTCCCAGTGGGAGCAGCAGTACCCAGGATCACAGTTCTCCAGGGATCACTTATGAGCTGCACATTTTACAGCTTCTGAAGGGACTTGTTAAAAGGAAAGAAAGCCTAAGAAATAATCAGCCACAGTGTGATTTAAGTGGAATTAAAGCACATCTGCTCAGTGCTTTGTGCTATCCATGAGCATTGTCATCACCTACTGCACACTAAAAACCAGAGCCACAGCCCCAAGGATTTTCCAGAGAGTCTCAAAATTCACCTCTAAGGACACAGAAGCCCTTTCCTGACCACAGGCAAAGGGAACTGAGCAGGACTGAATGCAGGGTTTTTCAGGTTTAATTCTCCCCCATCTGGGTTCACACAGTAAAAATCATATTTTTGTCCTAACCAATCCAACTTGAAGTGCTGAGACTTTCCCAAGTAATGGTGTTTCTCCCCCTCTCTGTGCCTGCAGCACATTCTGGTTTGTTTACTCTCCTGGGCTATGTGCCAGCAATAAGAAACAACCCAAATAGTTTGTTCAAAAATAATATCATTTACTCTTCCAAGATCTCTTAAAAAAAAAACAAACCAAAACACAAGATAAAAAATCCTCCAAGAGGTGCTCAGAATTTGGCCTTTAGTCCTGAAGAAAAACCATTTTGAAGCCATGTGGCCTCAGCTCTCAGTCATCTTTTTCTTTCAGTCTAACAAAAAAATTCATACGCTTTCAAAAAATAACTTTAAACCTCAAACTTTTTTTTTTAAATGGGAAATTGGGAATGCTCACCAAGCCAGACCATGTAAATAAATACATTCCTTGTTCCAACAGGCTGATGGTATCTTAGCAACAAGGGAAATACCAGATAAATATTGGTCAGGCAGTAACAGCAGAGGTAGGAAAGAAACCCCCACACAGCAGAAACTCTTTCCCCTACTTAGCCCTGGACACAGAGACCCCAAATAACCCTGGAACAATGAACTCCTGTCCTGCCAGGGCTGGGTAAGCAACTCTGTTCCTGCAGCCAGGAAGGAACCAACTCCCTTTCCAAATACTGCTCTTGCAGAGGCAACTCATCCTCTTTGGAGAGAGGAACAGGAATAGAAAGAGCCTCACACCACACCCTGAGGATCCTCTCTGTCCCCAGGACTTCCAGGGCTGCAGCTGGGACAGGCCAAAGTCCTGTTTGCCTCTTTTGACGTGTCCCAGCTGGGTGGGAGTGACAAAACCTGCGCTGGCACCCACTCACAGGTGAGGGGAGACTTCATAGAAGCTGACGCCGCGGTACCGCTCCATGTTCTGCTTGGTGTAGATTTCCAGTTCCTTGTAGGGATTCACAGACACCAGCACGGAGCCAATGTAGGTCTGGAAAGCAGAACAGAAAGCAGGGAGCTTACAGGAGGTCTGGAGGCAGAGCTCAGGTGTCTCAGGTGTCTCTGGAGGCTGGACACCCATCCTGGTGTGCTGGGGATGCTGCTGAGGGCTTCCAAACAGGCCAAGGTGCTGAGAAAGAGAACTCTGAGCTTTGGGGAAGTGACACTGCTAGAGCTGTGCCAGCCATGTTATCCTTGCTGAGTAAAAAGCACCTCAAATGGTTTTAGAGTTTCCAACAAGCCACAGTACTGAGTTATTTCTGAAATACATTTAGGATTGGGTTCAAGTCTGGGTTGGTGGAAGTGAATGAGTTCAGGAGACAGAAGAATGTGGTGGATTTTCAGTGCTGTCAATGCCACCAGATCTCAACAGGGGCACTGCAGTGAGTCCCCAGACCCATCAAATGGCAGCACCCCAGACTGGTCCTGGCACCAGCCCCCATGGCCTGTGTGAGTGCCACCAGCAGCACCTCCAAACCCACTGCCGAGCAGAGCCAGGGTTATCCCGTGCAGCAAACACACTCCAGCTCACCGAGGGACACCCTGGGGACTGGCCCTGTGCTACTCACGTAGATCAGGTTCTCCTTGAAGCGCTTCCTCAGGTTCTCAATGAAGGCAGCCTCGCTGGTGAAGTTCTCCAGCAGGACAAAGTCCTGCACCCCGACGCGGTCGCGGGCGGTCAGCGCGCTCTCCATGCTCAGCCGGATGCCGTTGGCTCCCAGTCCCTGCAGCCAAAAGCACGGGCAAGTTGGGATGGCTGTGGGATTGCAGGCACTGCCCCCAGTCCACAAGAACCACAGTTACCCTTGGATAACCATATTAAATGAAATATTAAAATAACCCCACTGTTGATGCTGAAAACAGTGATTACAACACGTCATCAGTTGTCTGCTCTAATTGCTTTGAGGGAAGACAAGTCAGCATTAGAGAAAAATTACTGCTTAATTTCCAATAACTTCAAATCAATCAAAGAAACAAACATTTGATAAAGAGAATAAAACTTGGATTTCCTTTCCCAGGCATCCTTTAGCAGGAGGGAGATTGAAATGTGTTCTCTCCTGCCTCTTATTTCACAACGGGAAGCTGTTTCGAGGTAAGGAATCTTTTATGACTAATGATGATTCATCTCAGAAGCAAACAGCTTCACATTGCTGACCAATTTAACAGCTTTAGCAAGGCACCCAATGGGAAAATTCTGAGAAAATTGAGAAGAAATGAGAAATGGGCATTTCTGCACCCACACAGCTGAATTTAGACAGTGACACTGACAGCACCAGGAGACTCCTACCCCGACCCTCCTTTAAAGGTTACATTTCCAGCCTGATGTGGGTGAGACACAACTTCTGTGGAAAGCACTCATCTGCTGACTCCTGACTTCACTGTGAAGCAGGGAGGGGAAATCTGCACCCAGGGGTGACTCAGTGGCTGCCTGCTGGGGAAATCTCTACTCAGGGGACAGAGATGGAGGAGATGAGAGGCACCACAGAAACCAGAGACAGGAGAAACCACGTGTGAAACCCTCTGCCTCACACCTGCACGCATTTCTTTATCTTCTTCAACCCTCCTTGCTTTGCAAACTGCTCACAGCAGCACCTTTCTCCTAAACCATTTCCCTAAAGCACTGAGTGATATTTTGGCATGTTGCACAAAGACCAGAGGGGTCTGTTCCTAAAACAGGCTCATGCACCAACAGCAATCCCAGACACCCATCACAAACTGGGAGTGCCAGACCCTGCACAATGATGAAGGTGACTTTTACTGACTCACAGAGTTGCTTTCTGCACCTTCCCAAGATGTAAAAGTGGTCAAACCACAGGGACTGGTGACATGCAGGGAGAAAAATAAACCCAGCCTTGGTCAGGAAAAAAATTTACCTGAAGTTTTGTTCAACAGTAATAAAAGCAAGAATCACTGAAGTATCAATTTGGGTCAAACCACGTGCAAATCCCCTCAGCCTGCAGTTGTTTTGATTCACCAAATTCTTGGTAAATGTTTTTTTTTTTATTTTATTTTATTTGGTAAATGCTTAGTAAATGCAGTTTTGCCTATTTCTGCCAGTTCTAATTGGCTTCCTCCCTGTAAGCCTGGGCAGAAGTGATTGCTTGAACCCAGCAGTTTTCAGATAGGAAAATCAGTTCCTTCTGGAAATCTCAAATCCAGACCCACTCTAATGGCTCAAACACCACAAAGAAACATCATTTGATTTCCTGTTATATTTTTCCAATTAGTCTCATGGTCTGGAAGGCCTGAGTTCTAAGCTTGGAACAACTCAGCCTGGGAGGAATTCTGCAGATACTCTCATGAAGTAATCGTTCTAAAATGGCCAACATTTTCCAAGCCAAGTCCTTCATAGCTTCAGCAAAATGCTCTGTTGTCTTCTACCTTCTTTGCCAAGGTGAGGAGAAAAGGAATAACCCTTGGAGAAGGAAGGTGAAGAGATAAGGAAAGGAAAATAGTGATAAATCACAGAAAGAGAAACTCTGCCTAGAAATTGGAATCCTCCTATCAGAGCAGTGCAGTCCCAGAGCAGGTTTTGGCCAAGGTGATGAGAACAAAGGCAAAACCAAAGGAAAACAACTCCTTTTTAAGTGGGGAAAATGTACAACTACAGTCCTAAAACACAGCTGCCTCAACAAGGACTGAGGAGAAACGTCCACCCTCGCACAGTTAATCCCAGTTTATACAATCCTGAAGCCTTTCACAGAAAACGTCACCTCAGCAGCTCTTTCATCAGCCCCTCCCTGGGGCCAGGACAAAGTGATCCCAGCTGTGCACATCCAGGAGAGGCAAGAGCCTCACATCCCCCTCACAACACAGAAAATTCCACTCCTCTGGGACAGGCATTTAAGGCCAAGAACTTTCGGTTTCCTCCAGTTTTTGTCTCCTCATTCAACTCCAACCCCTCGCCGTGAGAACAAAATAACCACCTCAAATCTGCAGACAGCTTGAAACAAAACAAAAGCCAAACCAACTCGACTGAAAGTGGCTTTTTGGTGATAATTAAATGTGGCCAGGGGATGTGATGCAGTCAGAGCCTCCTGAATATAAACTCCACTCAGTCTCGTAGCCTCCCAAACCCAAGCTGAGTGCAAATGAAAGGCAGAGCTGAGCAATAGGCACTGCTCCATGCCAGCATTTTGCTTTATTGCGTATGTCCAAGTCTACCACCAGCTTCAAATGTCAGTGTTAACTGTTTCCCTGCCATGACATAACAGATGGGCCATAAAAGGAGGTGAAAAGAAACCCTTTTTGCAAAATGGAAACAGAGCAGTCACGCAGAAGGAAGGAAGTGGGGAGGGAAGACACTACTTAAGAAAAAAATAACCACAGCGATGATCTGTTCATCAGTTCCTACTGAATGATAAATGTGAGGCACTCAAGAAATTAAAATAACCAAAATGTTGGTGATTTTCTGTTAGCAGGCAGACATCAGATCTGGTGGCTGTAAATTAATGCTAGAAAACCCAGTCTGGGGGGTTAAATGTGGTGCAGTGGAGCTAATTAACCATTAAAGCAGTTTGTCTATGGACAACACTCATTCCCTTGTTGTCTTTGCAGGGGATGAACTTCCTTGTGCCAAACCACCTCTAACTGAAATACATTTACAACATCCTCTGCTCCAGGTAAGAGATCAGCTTGGACCACTCAGCCAGCCCTTCCAGAGAACTGGGAGAACACAGGCTGTGAGGGTCTGATCAGACTATTTACAATATACTCTGCTCCAGGTAAGACATCAGCTTGGACCACTCAGCCAGCCCTGTGGCAGGGAGGACATTCCAGAGAACTGGGAGAACACAGGCTGTGAGGGTCTGATCAGACCCTTCCTTGTGGAAAGGAGTTTTTCTGGAAGCTGCCAGGAGAGCTCAGTGCTAGAGGAGCTGCTGTGACACTGAGGCAGGACTCAGTGCAGCTGCACCCTTTGGTTTGCACTGGCCCAGGACTTGTGCAATAAACCAGGCTGGAAATCTGTCAGGGATTAAAACTAACTCAGATTCTTTTGTTGTTTTAATGCAGGTCATTTTCCCACACTGGTCCCACGTATAATGACGATGGCCAGGGATAGGGTAATGGGAGCCACAGCAGGGCCAGGGAGGAGCCAGGATTCAGCAGCAGGGCCAGTTCCTGCTGCCTTGAAATACCTGGCAAGCTTCCACCTAAGAGGCAGGTCAGGTTTAGCCTAAAAAGCTAAAAAAGCTCAGCTCAAATCCCTCCTGCAGGCTTTGCTGCCTCCCTGGGATGGGGTAACACCTCCAAACCAAGCCAGGGCAACTCCATCAGCAAAACAAAGAGCAGGAAAAAAGAATCTGGTGGTTTTCTCTGCAGGTTTTGAGCTAAATCATCTTCCTGTGGGATTGGGAGAGTGTCAGAAAGGAAAGGAGGGAAGGGAGCACATTGAATCAGTTATTTAGGGCAGCTCCACCACATCCACCTTATAGGTCCCCTATGGGATCAAAAGGAGGGCCTGGCTGAGGATCCTGACCTTTGTAGGATGGGGACACCTAATGCCACACCCAGCACAGGCTGCAGCCAGGGAATGGCAAAAATCTGAGCAATCTGCATGTGATGGTGGTGCCTGTGGGCTCAGGAGTGCCTGTGCCTCCTCTCAACCTCCCCTTTCATCCCACTGAGGGTCACTCCAGAGTGCCCAGTCTGACTTCTGCCACCACATTTCCCAAAGCCACCCCACGGTGACATTTCCAGGGATTTGTTCCCACATTGTTTTAACCCACTCTTTGCTTTTAATGTCTTCTCCAGAGCCTGGAGCACAACAGTGGCTCAGGGCCAGGAAGGAAAAAGTCCCTCTGGAATGGTGGGGATCAGGCCAGTGCAATCACCACCACAGCTCTGCTTCCAGGGCTTTTTCTGCCCTGGGATTGAATTTTGGGAAAGACTTTCCGCTGGTGTAAATTGGTGGCTGAATGCAGCCTGCAGAGCCAGGTTTACATTGGCTGGGGTTCCAGCTTTTCTTTGTGTTCCTACAAGAGTCAACAAGACCAGCAAATACCTCCAAGCTCCTGGGAGTACAAAACCACTCACAACTGTACCAAGGAGTTTCCTACACTGAACTGGGAAATCGCTGACATGGGATTGTGAAGGTGTAAACACATATTTTTCCTTTAAACTCTGCTTAATGCCAAAGCATGATAAAGTTTTTCCTCTGCTTAGGACATGGAGAACTAATACACCTCAGAAATGAAAAATAGGACCTTTTGCTCTGTGCAGCAAAATCCAAAGGATTCGAGTCAGCCAGGCTGAGCACTTTGGGGGAATTTGTGCTGGAAAATGGGAGGGCAGCTCTGCCATGAGCACAGGGGTCTGGGGCTGATGTGAGCAGAGCAAGAAACTCCCCCTGGCTTTGTCCAGCAGCTGCTCCATGGCCATGGAATACCCAACATGGAGCAAAGATTCAGTCCCAGGCTTGATTTTCCCAAAGGGGTACTGAAATGGTTTAAAACTCAATTCCAGACATTGAGGGAACAGGCAGCACCAGCAACTTCCCACTCCTTTCCATGAGAAAACACCTGGAATTCTCAAAGTGAACAGTCTTGTATGGAGCAGGGAAACTGCATAACTGATTCAGAAAGGAAAGTCACAACATAAACAGAATTTGTGTTTCCACACCTAAAAATGTATCTTGCAATATTTTCTCCTGGCAGTGTGTTTTCACAGATTGGGTTGTACCCACTCAGGAGACTCACTGCAAGAGCCCCAGGAAGTGGCTCCC